CCTTGCACTTGGCCTGGTTAAACTTCATGTGGTTGGTACGGGCCCACCTCTCCAGCCTGTCGAGGTCCCTCTGGATGGCATCCCTCCCTTCCAGCGTGTCGACAGCACCACACAGCTTGGTGTCATCGGCGAACTTGCTGAGGGTGCACTCCATGCCACTGTCCACGTCACCAACAAAGATGTTGAAGAGGGCCGGGCCCAACACGGACCCCTGAGGGACGCCACTCGTGACCGGTCTCCACTTGGACATCGAGCTGTTGACCACTACTCTCTGAGTGCGGCCATTGAGCCAATTCACTCCTTTCCTTTAAGCTACTGCCTTCAGCCTGGTGAGGGGAGGATACAGGATCCCCTTGATCATGTTTTTTTCTCTGGTGGCTTTTCCTGTTTCTCTCTCAGAGAGGGCCGAGCATGACACCACCAGTCTCTCTCTTTCTCATACTCCCTGATGCTCCTTTACCTTTGCGCTTCCTCTTGTAGCTCTGCCACTGTGCAGAGCAGATCATCCACCTGGCCACAGCTCACACAGCTGTTCTCACCACTGCCGTTCCTTACCAGTGAAAGGCTCTGGTACTCCCTGCAGCCTGAGACCTGGATGGCTGCATGTTTTTGGGAGCTGTCCGAGTTGCCACATCCAGTCTGGCGAGTGCAGACAACATAGCTTTCCGTCAGGTAGATACCATAGCTAAGCTCCTTCTGAGAGGGTGATGACCACTAACTGAACTCACCTCTCGAGCTGACAGGGTGACTACACTGTTTGCCCGCTCTCTTCGTCACTAGTGCTGCCTTGGTGGCTTTTCGTAGGTGTGTGGGTGGCTGCAGCTGCTCTGGCGATGCCCAGGCCTCATCAGCATCTCCCATGAGAGCTGCCAGCTCCTGGCGGGTCTCTCTGCTCCCCGGGCATTTCCGTGCCTCAGGAAGACTCCCTGTGTGCCAAGAGCTGCTGCTCTGCTGTGGATTGGGCTGGCTCCAGAGCAGCTCCCCTCAGCGACTGACAGTTGCCAGTGACAGTAGTCCTCTGCACCCCCACAGGTCTGTTCTTACCTACTCCTAGCGGGTAGCAGTAAAGAGGTCTGTTCCTACCAAACTCTAATGACTGAGCAGTTCATCTTAAAGGTTGTTCTCTGCTTGTGCACAGCTCCCTATGAATCCTTGGACTGCTTCTGAACCTGCTCTGCTTGTTCCTGGGTTTGTTCCTCTGCTGCTTGGCACTCCTTATCCTTGTTCTGCCCTTGTTGGCTCTTCAGGTTCTGCTCTGCTGATATTGCCCCAGGCTCTGTCCTATGGGCTTACTTCACTCTCTGGCGTTCTGCCTTTGCAGTGCTTCTCTTGGGAATTGTCATCCCTCACCAATTCCCTGTGGAGCTCCTCACTTAACACCCCCAAGATGGAGTCCACAGATCTCTCTGGCTTTTTGCTTACATGATCCTGTGAAGGAGTAATTCTTCTGACAGCCCTGTTTCCCAGTATAGTGCCTCACTTTGTCTCCTCTTGTAGACCCTCCTCCCTGTTAGTGTTTCCAGTGCAGGTGTGCCGTAGGGATGTCTAAACCCTCGGTCTTACCCCTCATTGAGGGTCTGTGAGAGTGGCTTGTGCCTTGGTGTCAGCTAGCAGCTTTTGAATTCTCTCTCTGGACTGAATTGAGAGCAAGAGAGAGTGCTGTGGTCACAGGTGCATTGGGGTTCTTTGATGGAGTCATCACACATCGGGTTTCTCATTTCTACATTTTAGTCTAACTGAATTCCCTAAAGCTCTTCAGCAAAGCTTAAAGTAAATGACCACAGATATCCTCTAGCAGGCAAACAATAGGTTAGAGATGGAACAAGGGGTAGGAAGGAGTTTGTATTTTGAGGGTGATTCCTCCTTGAGGAGTCCTATAGGACTGTGCTAGTGCTTGCTCTGTTCTATGCGTCAGAAGTTGTATAAGTGGTGACACCACAACTTTTCATATAACTGATACTCAGGCTATAGCAATCGAAGTTGGCTGCAAATTGTTGTAGTAAGGCACAGTGATGGTGACCTGGTGATAAACTGGCAGGTGAAGTTTGGTGTTAAACATAAAGTAGCGCGCATAGAATTGTCCTTGTTTCCTTCCAAACTCCAGGTAGTGATGGACTCCACTGGATATCCAACCAGTGGTACAACTGGTTGGATAAAGGATCTTTGAGCCGTAACAAATATGTAATTGAAAATGTTACCATAGTTCAATTAACAGTCAAAAAGCAAATTAAATATTAGGAAAGGAATGGAGAACACACCAGAGAGCATCATTAGGCCACCATTTAAGTCATGGTACAACTGTGCCTTGTGGTTTGGGGCAACAAACTCCAAAAAGCATGTAGTGGAGTTAGGCCCAAAGGAGGGTGAGTGGATAGATGACTAGAGATTTGGAATTACTTACTTATGAGGAACTGAATCTCCTCCTCACAGAAGAGGAGGACTGAGGGCGAATGACAGAAGTTTGTAAAGTTCTGGTTGATATGGAAAATAAGCCGAATGTTTAATATGTCTTAAAATACAATCATGAAAAGGAATTAATAGAAAATAACAAATGGTAGGTTGAGAACAAAAGAACAAACTTCATAGTTCTCATAGTTAACATGGAACTCATTCCATGTTGTGAATGTCAAAAACCTACTGGATTCAAAAACTAGATGGACAAATTTGAAGGAGGAAAATCTGTTGAGGACAGCATTATTTTAAACTCTGAAAATCTGTGAGCCTTAAGTTGCAGCAGGGTGGGGAAGGATGCTGAGGCAATATTGCCACGTGCTTGCCTTGCTCTTAAACTTCTCTGGGCATCATCTGTTCTGACACCAACGGCTGAGCTAGGTGTTTCCCTGATCTGATCTGGAATAGCAATTCCCATGCTATGTTCACTGAGTCCATGGCTAACTTCCAGATGCTTCTACAACAAAGAACCAGCTTTGCTGTTTTGGGAGAGTCTTTGCTGGTACATAGTGATCTTGAGTTTCCACATGTTTTTGCCCAGGAACGGCTTGTCTTGCACAGAATTGCTTTTCTTATCAGAGTTCAGTGGAAGCTTAGTTTTTTCTGTTCCTAATCTCTCTTTCCTGTCCTGTTCAGCGACTTCTGCTCCAAGGTGAAGAACACAATCTACTGCAATGTTGAGCCTTCTGACTCCAACATGCTATGGGAACCAGAGTTCATGATTGACACTATTGAAAATCCATCTGCGCATAACTTTACGTACACCAACCTGGGCAAGAGCCTCAATGAAAACCCAGCCAACCGCTACAGTTTTGTCTGTAATGCACTTATGCATGTGTGTGTGGGACACCATGATCCAGACAGGTGAGAGACAGAACTTCCATGGTTCTACTGAGACAGTCAAATCTTTATGTGAGGGCAAGAAAGCCAGTAGTCATTCCTTGGCTGTCTTGGGGTGTGAGGAAGAAGGAGCCAAGGCTGGGGTCCCTTTAGAGAATCACCACCCTGATGGTGTGCATGAGTAGCAAAGTTGACCCTCTGCTTTTTTCATTATTTATTTAACAGGGTGAACGACATTGCTATCCTGTGTGCTGAGCTAACTGGCTACTGCAAGTCTCTAAGTGCCGAGTGGCTGGGTGTGCTCAAAGCTTTGTGCTGTTCCTCCAATAATGGGACCTGTGGCTTCAATGATCTCCTCTGCAATGTTGATGCAAGTGCAAACATTCAAAAGGGGAAAAGGAATTGAAGCAGGAGTGAAGGGATCCCTTGGGAGAAGGAAGAAGTGAACAAGGGATGGAGGCTTTTGTCTTCTGAGGACAGGGGAAAGGCTTTGAATATGGGGGCTACCTTTTGGTGTTTGTTGCAGCCTGGGCTGATCATGGACGTTGACCTGGGGTTATGGGCCCTTCTACCCCCCAGCTCCTAGGCAAGCTGAGGAATTGCTGACAGAGGGAATGAGGCAGAGGCTGTTGTGATCACTGGCTGATGTTCTCTCTTCCAGGTCAGTGACTTATCTTTCCATGATTCCTTGGCCACCTTTGTTGCCATTCTCATTGCCCGGCAGTGCTTGCTGCTGGAGGACCTTATTCGCTGTGCTGCCATCCCCTCACTCCTTAATGCTGGTAAGTGCATCCCTGCAGAGAGCTGGTCTTAGTCTCAGTTCTGGCCCAAAAGCCTGTGCTTAATGGATACTTTGTGAAGCCCATAGTTGTGAAACATGCCTCCAATCCTTTTATATTATGGTACTTAAGAAGTCAATGTTTTGCTTTAGAGAGTTTCTGGCCTTTTGGTTTCTAGCAAAAACTGGTTGTGCTAAGGTGTTTCAATGTCTTACTCTTGAGTTTGTGTGCAAGCTGATATAAGCACGGAGAGATGTACACTGTCTGACCGGTGTACTCAGCTCTGAACTCCAGCAGTACACCTCTCACTGCTGATATGGTTCAGCTTAGCATTTTGGCTAGAGCAGCCAGCTAACCAATTTGGCCTGCAGTGCCTGGGTCACTCTGCCTTTACTCTGTCTCCAGTCTTCCTAGCTTTTTCTCTGGGAATTGCAGCATCCAAACTCTTGACAGTGTGAAGCTGGGAAGATGAAGCAAGCAGAACACAGTGCATGTCATTGAGGATAATACTGATGGACGTGCTCACTTGCATGTTAATTGCTGCACATGCGCTGTATTGGTAAATACAGTAAGGCTGCTGCAGCTTCTCAACTGGCTGTTCTAGGGCAGTGCACTGTGAATAGCTTTTGGATTGAGAGTCAGCTGTCTCAGTGCTTAAAAAATCTCAGTTGACTGTTTTCTTTACATAGCCTGCAGTGAACAGGACTCAGAACCAGGAGCACGTCTGACCTGCCGGATTTTACTCCATCTGTTTAAGACTCCGCAGCTGAACCCATGCCAGCAAGATGGCAGTAAGTGAATGAAAGTAGAGCCTTTCTTTTTTGTGGGAATACTGAGGCTCTTGCACCACAAGAAAAGAGATACTGGACCCTATGATTAGAGATCATGACCTGCTTGCTTTGACTAAAGCAGGTGAAGCCTGATACAGAGGACAAAGAACAATATTCTTCCATTTATGTCACTCCATGGTAGCCAGGCGTGTTGGGGAGGAGGCCCTTGGAGTCAGGAAACCAGCCAGTAGAGGTGGCCTTGCTGTCACTAAGCCATTAGAGTAATGCTCACTTCTTTTTTTATGTCTAGAGCTTTGTATAGCCTCTTAAGTTGGTGCCAGAAGCTGCTATTTTACAGCACTCCCTTTTTGTCTGGTAATGGAAACAGTCCAGAAAGCTCTGTTCTTGGCTCCTCATCAGTATCCTGATAGCTCAGATCTCTAAACCCAGCCTGTGTTCTAGGATAGGGTACTGTTGGAGCTTGGAGTTCATGACACAGGCACTGCTCCCTATTTGGATTTCATGGTTCAGTTGTCACAGTGTGATTGGCACTATGCTTTGCAAAACTTAATTAAATTGACCCCATGTTACAGCTGGGAAAAGGACTAGCCTCAGAATTCTCTTGAACTGGATTCTATGGTACTGGCTGGCACGTAATTCAGGCAGCTCTGGAGCCTGTGCCTCTCTCTTTCACTGGGTATTGCCCTTCCCCATTGTCCTCTTTGCAGACAAACCCACGGTGGGAATCCGGTCTTCCTGTGACCGTCACTTACTGGCAGCTTCCCAGAACCGTATTGTGGATGGAGCGGTCTTTGCAGTGCTGAAGGCTGTCTTTGTTCTGGGTCAGTACCTGTGTTAGCCTGAACCTGTAAGAATGGTTTTTTTATGGGTTTTTTAGGGTGGGAGAAAGGCACTGTTTTGCATGTGTTGGCTGTACAGAAGGCCAGAGGAGATCTGTTTTGATATGGGGCTTGTATGGAGACCTTTGAGCTGTAGATGTGCTTTGTATCTCCTTAGCTGCAGAGAGAGTTTACAAAAGCTTGAGATGTTTTGTGGGTCAGGCTTTGGGTTTAGCACTGATGATTAAGTGACACTTGTCCTTTTCTTTTAGGAGATGCAGAACTGAAAGGCTCTGGCTTTTCCCACCCTGGAGGTGTCGATGATCTCATGGATGATGAGCTGGGCACCAGGAAGGCTGGAGGTCGGGTAGTAACTGTAGAAACAGCTAGCTTGGATATTTATGCCAAGTATGTACTGAGGAGTATATGTCAACAGGTGAGTCTGTCCCATCTCTAAGTTTTGTCTTTATCCCTACTGCAGACAGATGTGTCCCACATGACCTCCTGCAGATTGAGTTTGGTGGGTGTTTCTCTGAAAGATCAGTGAAGAACCCGCCCACTTGATGGTGCGAAGGACTGCACTGTATTGGCGAAAAATAGAGCAAACGGTTGTCAAGAATTAGGTGTTGCAGTATGCAAAGACTGCACATCCCCTTTGCTTTGGCAACACTGCAGGGCTTGTGTCCAAGGAGGGTAGTGCTGGGAGTGGTTTGCTGAGAGGTGCTGGAGACAAAGATGATAAGCATGAGAAGGACAGCTCGTTGAAGTGATAAATGGTGCCTTTCAGAATGTAGCTTAAGTGTTGCTTGCAGCTAGGCTGTTACTGTGTCCCTGGGCTTTGCAGTGCCCTGTTTAGTTAATTAAAGGAACAACAACAAAAATCTTTTGCTTGGACTAATCTGACAGCACCAGTATTTCTGTTCCTTTGCGGAAAATTGACATTTGAGGAACTGAAACCTGACTAATAAGGGACTTAGTTGCAGAGTGGAGTGGCTGTTACCACTACTGTATGAAAATGGGTGTTGAAGGGTGTCCTTGGCCTTGGTTGCAAATTTATTCTATCAACAGGAAAGATGCAAAGTGACAATTTGGAACCTGTATTCATTATTACAATTTGCAACCTGTATTCTGTATTACTAATGCGTAAACACAATAGTGCTGTGTTGTCCTCATGCTTTGTGATGCTGCTGGTTATTAATTGGCTTGCTATATAGCAATGTTACCAGCCTACCGAAGAAGAATTGGAGCCATCTATTTATGAACATAAATTCAACATAGTTGGTGTGACTGAAACCTGACTGTAGCATTGACAGAAGCAGATATTCTTTTGCTGGTCTTCAGTCTACATAGGAAGGATTCACAGTAGGTAGAAATTTTGTGGGTGAGTGTACAGGAGGGAGTAGCAGTTTCAGGTATCATTTCCCTACCAGTTGTTGGCAGCACTGGTTATGAGGAGTGGGGAATTCCAGTAGACACCACTGAGTACCACCAAATGGTACCAGACTGCTACTGTAAGTTGTGATTTCTGAAACTCAGAAAATGTTGCATCTCATGTTCAGGTGTCTATTTTGTAATAAACTTCATCATGAAGGGGTGGGGAAAAGGAACATACTATAGAATTAAAGTAAAGGTTTCTTAGGCGCTTAGTTGCTGGTCTGCCCTCTAGCCTGTTTTGAATAATAAATGTAATTGTGACTGGCCTTGTGATGAAACTATAGTAGGAACCAAGAGGGAAGCTAACCTGTATCTGGTAATTGGAATGGTGGAGTTGTCCACAGTGCTTGGAAAACGTGTTCGTAGTACTCTTCTGTGAAGGGGCAGATGAGGGACTCTCTTTCAGTAATATGAAGCCTGTGGAGGTGGCTCTTTTGTAAAGAGGTGTTGCAGAGAGAGTGTGCCTAGAAGTCCCTCAGGGTGAAGATGGTAGCTGACTTTGTACTTGTGAAATTATACCAATAAAGTGGCTCAGAGATGAAGTCTGAATTCTTGTAGGAAGCTGAGCAAGTGACAGAAAGAGTCTTCCCAAGGATATACATACACAAGGAAGAGAAGTTTCAAGAGATTATAATGTAGCAACACTGACAGGGAGAAATGCAATAGGCATAGGAGAAATGAACAGATCACGTGTATTGACAAAGTGGAAATTTCATCTGGGATGAAGTGGAAGATCTAGGCTGTGGTTTCACAGGGATTTCAAACCAGAGATGTAGTTTTTCTGATCTTTGTGCTCTACTTCGTTCTTAGAGTGCTGTCTGCAACTTAGAGGGACTGTTCCCAGCTTTCTAGGCTTAGCACCAGCACTTGTGCTTCATGAACGGGATCCTCGTCTCTTCTCTGTTTGTCACTTCTCAGCAGAAGAATTCTCTGATCAGGCTTGCTCTGCAGAAGTGCTTATGTAGCGGTACTCTGTAGATTTTAATTTCATGAATTTGCCTAATTGACTTTCAATATGAAAAAATCCTGCAGTAATGAATTCTGCAGGTTAACTGTAAATTGTGTGAAGAAGTACCTACTTCATGTTTGTTTTGGAAACTGCTGCCTTTATTATTATCATACGTTTATGGACCACCAACTGTAATTGAGAGGCTGACAATAATAGTTTTCTGTCTGCCTTCTCCTGATGATTTGTGCCTTTATAAATGGCTTGCGTCCAGTCAGTTGTTTCCCCTTCCACGCTTTGAGAAGTAAAGTCATTGTTTTTTCTAAGGATGGCAGTGTGTTTTCCCTCAGCATTTCAGAATTAAGGGTGTGCTTTTCCCGAAGACTGTTCTAGTGTAGCCTTAGCTGCAGGCCTGAATTATTTAATTTAGGACAGCTCCAGGGCTTTGTTGTACAGGAAATAGACCAAATAATTTTAAGTGATCCCTTGTGATCTTTTGAGTCCAAGTGGTAGTGTTGATGGAGCATGGGCATGGCAGTGACTGTGTACTGTTAAATCATACCAATATTTTATCAGAAGAAACAGCAGCTACTGTGTTTCACCACTGCTGACTTGTCAAAGTTGATGTTTCCTCTGTTGTGATTGCTGTGCTGCACCTGTTGCTTGCTGAATCAGGATAGTACAGTTCATGAAGAGAAATTATTATCAGACATAACCGTGTACTAATTAAGTTTTTATGAGTTTGACGTGGTCCCTGCATCTCTCTGAGACTGAAAGCAGGAGCACTGGTTTGGAATCAGACATCAGTTTGACTGTGCTAACTCTGCCTTCGTCTTGCAGGAGTGGGTAGGTGAGCGATGTCTGAAGTCTCTCTGTGAAGACAGCAATGACTTGCAGGATCCTGTCCTGAGCAGCACACAGGCCCAGAGGCTGATGCAGCTGATTTGTTATCCACACCGGTTGCTGGACAACGAGGAAGGAGAAAATCCTCAGCGGCAGAGGATTAAACGCATCTTACAGGTGCAGACTCCTGTCGGAATCTGAGAGTGTCCTAGTAATTGCCTAATGTAGAGTTAGAGTGGGGTTATCCAAAACGCAGCCCTCTGAGGGGCCCGGTAGCCATTATCATTGGAGCTGAGGGTGTGGGCTGATACAGTTTGAACTGAGATAAGGACTCATATGAAGTATGTGGGTGTGTGTTGCAGAATCTAGACCAGTGGACCATGAGGCAATCCTCGCTGGAGCTGCAGCTCATGATTAAGCAGACAGCAAACAATGTGAGTTTTTGCTCTGAGGGACCATACAGATGTGTGTTGCCAGTGTTGAAGTGGCTGCTTGGGAGGTGGTTGGGAGGTGGCCTGGTAGAAGTGGGAACAGGGAGAAATTAAACAAAGAGGGAGTCATGCCTGTGAAAGTGAAGCATGAGAAGGATGTGATGAGTCTGAGACTCAAAGAGCAGCAGCCATGGGGAAGTTGGCAAACTGGATTTATACTGAGTTGTGTTGAAACGTGCAAGCCCTGTCAGTGGATGCTCTCAGAGAAGGACTTGATTGTCTTTTCTTCCCTGTCTCTAGGAGATGAACTCCTTGTTAGAAAATATAGCCAAGGCCACCATTGAGGTATTCCAGCAGTCAGCAGAGACCAGCTCTGCTAGCTCTGCTGGCAATGGAATCAACAGTATCAGTAGCTCAGCAAGTGCTACACCTGCCAGCAACAAATCCAAACCCATCCTCAGGTAGGTGTAGTCCCAGCATGCAGCTGCCTTGTAGACGAGTCTGAATTAGAGGTTGGCCTGCAAACTGCTTTTCTCATCTATTGTCACAGCTCCCTGGAGAGATCAGGAGTGTGGCTGGTGGCCCCTCTGATTGCCAAGCTTCCAACGTCCGTGCAGGGCCATGTGCTGAAAGCTGCTGGAGAAGAACTGGAGAAAGGACAACATCTGGGGTCATCGTCTCGCAAAGAGCGGGACCGCCAGAAGCAGAAGAGGTGAGTCCTGGGAAAAGGGCAGGCAGTGCTTGCTGCGCTGATCCCCCAGCCTGGCAGCATAGCTCCATCTCTGTTCTCTCTGCAGCATGTCTCTCCTGAGCCAGCAGCCATTTCTGTCACTGGTGCTAACATGCCTGAAAGGACAGGATGAGCAGCGAGAAGGCCTCCTCACCTCTCTGTACAGTCAGGTCCAGCAGGTAAGTGTCTTGCTTCTCCCCTCACTGTCCTCAAGGTCTCACTCCTGCAGCAGGCAGGCTATTGCGCATGTCCTTGAGGATATTATCTTTCTGATTGTTTGGTCAATAAGACAAAGATCTTACCCTGGTTGCTATAGGGTGCTGAGCAGACCATCTTTGAGTCACTGGGCGGTACAAGCTGCTCTCTGTAAACTTCAGTGTACAGTTTGTGAGGTCTGTCCTCTCTTCTAAATTTCTTAGATTGTTACAAATTGGCGAGAAGATCAGTACCAAGATGACTGCAAAGCCAAGCAGCTGATGCATGAGGCCCTGAAACTACGGCTGAATTTGGTGAGTGGTTGCAGAAGAGCTTAACCATATGGGACGAAGAGTTGTCTGCCTTTTTTCCTTTTTTTGGAACATGCACACACTGGAGGGGCTGTATATGTCCTGAGGCAAGGAAGTAGGAGAGGTGTTTGTGCTGCTTTTAGGTCTTGAGCCCTGAATGGGATCAGGTGCATGGAAAAACTCCCTTGCTCTGTTTTGCCAGGATGAAATCCACAGCCTTGGTCTCTGTTTTGGAGATGTGCCATCCCATTTCAATGCTTTTGCAGTTCACAGCACTACTACTTGCACCTGAAATTTGTCCTGCTGACTGCGGTCTCCTTCTGCTCTCATTAGGAGTTGATGTAGCACAGGAGTTGTTCTGATTTAGGCTCCTTTCTCACTTTTAGATCTTAGTGTTTCTTCATGGTGTCCTTATGACTAAACTACTTTTCTCTGCTAGGTGGGGGGAATGTTTGACACAGTTCAACGCAGTACACAGCAGACGACTGAATGGGCTGTGCTTCTTCTGGACATCATTAGCAGTGGCACTGTGGACATGCAGTCAAACAAGTAATTTTCTGGCTGACTTCTGATCCATACACTTCCCGAGGGAGGCAGTCATTAGCACGGCCCCTTCTCTCATGTGAGATACCTGTCTCTGGACAATCTGTCAGAAGTACTGTGACAGCTGAAAGAGGCTTTAGAGTAATAGCAGGTTACAACCTAGGTCCTAGTATCCAAGTGCACTCTGACATATCCAGAGCAAACTTGGCTTTCCAGATACAGAGAGATAAGCAGGGGAGAGCTGAGTCTGGACCTGCTTTTTGGAGAAGCTGAATGGATAGACAGGAGGCCAGTCTTGAGTCAGGTGCAGTATCACAGATTAAATGTGAACACCCTGTGGTGTATAAGCAAAAGGAGGATTAGTGTGGGAGGTTACTCTGAAGAGCACTTGGTGCTTCTCGCTGTAGGCAGTACTCTTCAGCAATCTGATAGTGTTTGGTGTTACTGTGATGGGAGAGGCTTTATATCTGCTTCTCAGATGGCTTTGACCTTTCTGCTCTGATCAACAGCGAGCTCTTCACCACCGTGTTGGATATGCTGAGTGTTCTCATCAACGGCACCCTGGCTGCTGATATGTCCAGCATTTCTCAGGGCAGCATGGAGGAGAACAAGCGGGCATACATGAATCTTGTGAAGAAACTCAGGGTGAGGGGCACCAGACTCTGTATGGGGAGCAGCATGTGCTGTGTCATGATTGTCTAACTATGCAGATTTACCTGTGTCTCATGAATGGTACTTGTCCCATTGCTGCTGTTTAGATGAAGCAGTGAGAGTGGCCCCAATGGCTCTGTAGGGCTGAAGGGTACAAAGGTGGGAGGTAATGCAGGGATGGAGGCTGACACCAGAAGAGGCACAGGCGGGCTTTGGATGATTTTTTGTGAGCGATTCTACAAGTCTTCTCTATTCTACTTGTGCAGAAAGAGCTGGGGGACCGGCAATCTGACAGCCTGGAGAAGGTGCGACAGCTACTGCCGCTTCCCAAGCAGACCCGAGATGTCATCACCTGTGAACCTCAGGGATCCCTCATTGACACCAAAGGCAATAAAATAGCTGGATTTGACTCCATCTTCAAGAAGGAGGTAAGCGAAGCTTTTTTTATCTGCATCACAGCTCCTGAGCGCTGATGTCACCTTGTCCTCTGATGTCTTTAATCTACACAGCTTGGGA